AGAAAGAAAATACTGCCATTGTGTACATAGGAAAGCACACAAAGGTAAGAACTACTAGAGTATAGAGTAGAAGTTAGAAATTTAGACAAGGGAGACTGTTGCTAGCCAAAGGAGACGTTACTCTGTGGAATTACACCGAGTCACTGAACAGATACAAGCAACAGAGTGAGTCAAAGTGTTAAATTTCTTTTTAGATGGAACACTGAAGTGTGAGTGTGAAGAATGAATTTTTGCAGGGTTCTGGGAAGGGAATGTAAGTGTGCCAGTTAATCTTAACTGTCAGCCTGGGGGTTAAAACACTCCTGGCCAGCGGCCTGGACTGTGAGGGCACTGGCCTCACCAATGGGTCAGCCAAGTGATGGCTTGGTAGCCGAATGGGCTATTAGGGGGCAGGGCCCACATGGAGGAAGTGGATGAAGAATATGTGTCTTGGGAACTCAACTGGTTCTTTGGCCTCTTCTTCTCTGGCTCTTCCCCTACTCTGATTTCTATCTGCCTTGACTACAGCAGTTTTTCTCTGCCAAGCCTTTCTGCAGTGATGTTTCTGCCTGTGGGCAGGCTAAACATGGGCCTAAACCTCTGAAAATGTAAGCCAAAGAAAATTTCTCTAATTGCACATGTCAGATAGTCTCCCCAGAAAGGGAAAGCTGACCGATACAGAAGGCAAGCAGGAAGGAATCACGCAGTTTAACATCTCAGAATCTCAGACAAAGGAGATGACTGAGACTGAATTAAGGCAATGATTTATTTTTTAATTTTAAAGAGGATAAAACTAAACATAATAAAACAGAACAGAGTAGATCAGAAGAATGCAATGTAAGTGACACAGATCAAAGCAAAATAATAGCGTATCTACCATGGCTACCATAATGTTTTTTGTTTTATTCCAAATAGCTATCCATATCTTCACACACAATGAATTCGTACACAACAAAATACTATTAATCAGATCAGAACAGAGTGATGAAGGTACTACAGGCCTTCAAAACTAGACAACAGTGGCTACCATAATGTCTCTTGTTCTCATTCAAATTAGCTGTCCATACCTTCACATATGTTGAAATTAAACACTACAAAACGGGCTAAAACCACTCTGAACAGAGAATAAAAGCATCACTGATTTCACAGCATGACGATACGGTATCTGCAATGGATACTATAATGTCTCTTTTTCTTCAAAGTAGCTGTTCCTTTCATCATGCATAATATAATTGATTCTCATAAACTGTTTAAGGGAAGTTCTAGGCATGTATAAACCTCTATATGTATGCCTATTCTTTCTGTATCAGAGAGAAAAGCAAAATAAATTCCTAGAAAAACACAAAACGAAAAAGACAAATAAATAACAATAGCAAAGAGCTCAAAACACTGAATATATAGGCCTTTAAGCAAAATGGCATGAGCATAACTAGGGCTGTTACTTTACATAATGATCTACAAGAGTGGGGCTGGGGATTTAGCTCAGCGGCATAAGCGCCTGCCTCAAAAGCAGGCAGTCGTGAGTTCAATCCCCGGTACCGATAAAACGGAAAAAGACCAAAAAAAAAAAAAAAAAAAAAAAAAAAGAGTTCCTCAGATTACCACCATACACTAATATGCACAATTGTTCCAGTCCTATGAATGTTAACCTTTTGTTCCAAGAACTTATAAAATTTGTAGCACAATCACCTTAGTTATCCCAAGTGTGTTTATACAATTTTACATATTTTTCTTTTCCCTTCCTTTTTTCTTTTTCCTCAAATTCCCTGAGATATTATTTTTTTCTCTTTAAGCAGATTCTTATCCTTTCACTGTATTTATTGAGTATTGAGTATCTTATGTACTCTTACCATTTCTTATACTAGGGAAGACTATACAGTATTTACACATGGGAGTTTGATTTATTTCACTTATGCATGTGGTCTTGAGTTGCATCCATGCGTGTGGTCTTGAGTTGCACCCATTTACTTATGAATATCTCAAAGTGATCATTCTTTATAGCTGAGTAATACTCCATTGTATAAAAATACCACTTTTTTATCCATTCCTCAATTGATGAGCATTTAGGTTGTTTCCAAGATCTAGCTATGACAAAGTGTGCTGCTATAAACATGGGTGCACATACATCACTGTGGTATGTTTTCAGTTCTTCTGGGAATATGCCCAGAAGTGGAATGGCTAGATCAAATGGGACCTCCAATCTCAGCTTTTTGAGGAACCTTCAGACTGACCTACACAGTGGTTGTACCAATCTACACTCTCACCAACAGTACAGAAGAGTTCCTTTATCCCCACAGCCTCTCCAGAATTTGTTGTTGTTAGTTTTTTTTTTTTTTTTATCCTGGCCATTCTTTCTGGAGTGAGATGGAATTTCAGTGTGGTTTTAATTTGCATTTCTCTAATGATCAATGATGCTGAACACTGTTTCATGTATTTATTGAGAACTGTATCTCATCTGTCTTTATCTGAGAACTGTGTGTTCATCTCAGATGCCCATTTTTGGATTGATCTTTGAATTCTGAGGGTCTGATTTTTTTTAATTCTCCTATATGTTTGGACAGAAGTCCTTTGTCTGAAGGACAGCTGACTAGCCCCCCCCCCCCCAATTTGTGGGTTTTCTTTTCACTATGTTGAATATTGGATATTTCTTTTGACATGCAAAAACTTTTTAATAAGACAAGATCTCAGTTGTTGATTCTGGGAAGTATTTCCCGCACGGTTTGATTTTTGTTAAGGAATTCTCTACCTACGTCTGTGTCTTCAAGATTTCTACGTACTTTGTCTTCCAACAGATTTAGTGTTTCTCCTTTAATATTTAGATTTTTGATCCCTGTAGATTTTAGTGTAGTACATGGTGATAGGCAAAAATGAAGAAAAGAGTAAGAGTTTAAAAAGAGGCATTTGGGGGTAAAAATAGCAGTAGGGCTTGATTGCTGGAGAGATAAGGAGGAAGGAAAAATCAAGAATGCCTGCCACGCTCAAGGGACAAGGGGAATGGCAGTGATGTTACCTAACGTAAGAAGGAGATGAGTCACAACTTAGGAAAAGACAAGGCGATGGATTTTGTTTTTAATCTTTTATATTTGAGGTGTCAATGGAATGATTAAGAAATTATGCCTGGCAGAGAGATACAGAAAAGAAACTCAGAGGAGACTCCAGAGATTTAAATAGATTTGGGAGTTACTAAGACAGAGGTTGTCCATAGATCACGGGGATGGATGAGATTATCTGAAGCAGAAATCAGCATTTTCTTTTTTTACTTTTTTCTTTTTCTTTTTTTATCGGTACCAGGAATCAAACTCACTCACAACTGCCTGTTTGCTGCTTGCAAGGCAGATTTTTATGCCGCTGAGCTAAATCCCCAGCCTGAGATCAGCATTTTCTTTCAAACCTCCAACTAAGGTTAGGATAGGATTAAAAGAGGCTATAGAAGTAAATCTTGCAGGAGAAAGAAAAAAAGAGAGAGGGAAAGAAAAATTAAGTGGAGTGTAGAAGAGAAAAAAGCCATTTTAGTCCACGCATATCATTAATTCTGTGAAAATATCTGTGGTTTTGTTTTCTAGGTCAAATAGCTTAATTGTTGGTTTGTTTAACCATAGCTGCATTTTAAGCTATGACTTCAGAAACCAATCTGCAATGACTTCGTCGTCTTCTTTTTTTTTTTTTTTAATTTGGCTTACAAAAACTACACAGTTTTTTTAAAGAATGAAAATAAATTAATGACAAAATGATGCATTTAAAATACCAATGAAAATAGTTAAAATGACTGAAGTAAATTGGTAGCAAAGTTTATTTTGATTTTACAAACATATTGGGCTAGTGCCAAGGATGAAAAGTATATAAAACATGTCCTGTGCTTTAAGAACATTTAATCAGACAAAAGACCAAGAAACAAATCAAATAATCTTTCAAAATTCTCTTGAATGTGTTAATACTATTTTGTTATGTTTGATACTATTGTATATGAAGTTATACTCAACTATTTCAAAGAAAGAGACATTGTGGTAGTTACTGTTAATTATGGGTTGTCTTCTGGTGAAATACTGTGTTGCTTACGTTGTTCTGTTCTGATCTGATTTGTTATATCCTGTTTTGTCTTAATCTCTTTAAAATAAAAAAGTATGAGTTTAATTTAATCACATACTTCTACCTGAAGCATTCAGTAGCACAAACTGCTAGCTGTCCCCTGGTCACCACATCGCCCTCCTGCCATTGTGGTTAAGATGACCATGGAGAATAAAGACAACACTCCCGGCATCCATGTAAATACATGGGCTGTATGATTTACTTCTAAGTACGAGTGGAAACAGCATCAGAACTTCCAGGAAGTGTTCTTAAAAGGGAAGGGCAACTACTCCTCTTCCCCTTCCCTACCCTCTCCTCATTATTAGTGAGTGTACACATACTTTCTGGAACTGAGCTGCCATGCTAAGTCAAGAAATGACCTTTGGAATAAAGGCTCCACATGGCAGAACAATAAGATACACACAGCCTGGTTACCTAGAAGTTGTAGACTAACTGTAGATTTTTTGAATGGAAAGAAGATGAGTTAAGGTATTATTTCCAGTGGCTAACATCTTTAGTGTGATAACTTTAACAGAACTGTGTGTACCGTCCAGCTTTATCTATTAATGCCTACTGATATGACTCTAAAATAGAAGTGGAATGCATAACAAATTTAATATTTGAAATAAAATAACCATATTCTGCAACAACTCATATTAAGTGAAAATCTGAGTATTTATTAGCAGACATAGTACTTCTTTTTAAATTTTTTTTGTCTTTTTTTTTCATTTTTACCGGTATCAGGGATCGAACTCACGACTGCCTGCTTGCAAGGCAGGTACTTATGCTGCTGAGCTAAATCCCCAGCCCCCAACATAGTACTTCTTTAAATCCAAAAAAGAAAAAAGAATATGCTTAATAAGTCTACAACACTAGTGAAAAGAAGATTCATTCTCTCAGACATCAATAATACTGATTTCTATCTTTAAGATAACTGTGTTAATATTTTAACTTACTTCTTTTGAAGGATTCATTGGTAATGTAAAGATAGTTTTCCAGTATGACCAGACAAACATTGCAAAAAGTAGATGATAAGCCATCAGGCACACAACTAAAATGAGAGGAACATAATTATCATTGTGATATGCAAATATGTACACAAATCATGGTACTGAGAAAGGATCTGCTAGTTCTAAAATACTTAAATTACCCATTATAAGTTATAAAAGTTCATTTATAATCACATTGTATTACTATAATTCATTGATTACAAACATAAAGTCAAGTGTATTTTTTAGTCACAAAATGCATAATTAGATTTATTATACAACCATGAAAAAAAACCCTCATATCTGTAGACAGGTACATCTAAAGGTCCTTGCCTTTCCTAAATTGCAAAAATGAGGCAGTTCTGCCTGAAACTTTAAAGAGTAAACACAGCAAGTAGTAAATATTAATGATACTTTTAGGTTTTAAAACTTTGCTTTACTCACAGAGACTGCAAAAGCAGTTCCTATCTGAGAATTTGTTTACCAATTTACTTAACTGTAATTCATGCTGGTGGCCCCCACTATTGTATGAGAACATATTTAAACAGGGACCATCTAGATCAGGACAAAGTTTCCCCAGCTGGAGTTCAAATGCTTCATTCATCATGCAGGACCAGTGTTTAAAAGGGCATACTGGATGCTTTTTTCAAGATAATGCATGTAAACATTATTTATGTAGTGTTGTTTTAAAAAATTACCCAAACTTAAACTATTAATTTATGTACAGAGAAAATAATTCATTCTAAATAATACATTAATATGTAACCTAGTTCTGTAAGATAGCGTTGAATATAATATGTTAATGTAGAATATAGCACATTTGGCATTTTGCTTTTTTTTTTGGTACCAGGGATCAAACTCATGACTTTGTACTTGCCAGGCAGGTACTTATGCCACTGAGCTAAATCCCTGGCCCCTAAGTGGTTTTTTTTTTTTTTTTTTTTTTTGTCTTTTTCCTTTTTATCAGTACCGGGGATCGAACTCACAACTGCCTGCTTCAAGGCAGGCGCACATTTGGCATTTTGAAATTACTCTACCTGGTAAGAGCAATTTTTGATTTTCTGAAGAATGATGTATTTATATTTATAGAATCATTAAAAATTTGAATTATTCAGATTAAGGCATTCAAATTAGTATGTGATGATAAAGACCAATGGTAGTTTTTTTCCTTTTTGTTCTTTCTTTCTTCCTTTTTTTTTTTTTTTTTTTTTTTTTTTTTTTTGGTACCGGAGATGGAACTCATGACCTTGAGTTTGCCAGGCAGGTGTGTATGCTGCTAAGTTAAGTCCCTGGCCTGAACAATGGTAGTTTTCATACATTATGACAGTAACTCAATGAGTTGGGACAGGAGATGACTGACATCCCTGTATTTTAAAAAAGAGTGTTTGGTACAATTAAGGCCATTTTAGGGTAGAGTACTCTATCAAGTCTGACAGAATTCAACCTGAAAATTTAGAGAAATTAGACATTATTTACCCTATATTATTTCCATATTCTCAAAGAACAATTTATTAATCTCAACCAAATTTTAATGGATATAACATTTTTCACACTATTTTAACATCTATAATAATAACATATGTTACCTTGTTCTCCAATGTTTTCCATGGACACTAAAGAAATAGAAAGAAAAGAGGCAATAGGTTACATGAAGCGTGCGGAAAACAGGGTCTAACAGAGACAGGAGGCGTTTAAATAGGTTAGAACTTGGCTTCCCTACAAATCAACATGCTTTAAAAATTTGTTCAACTTTACTCAGAGGCCAGTGCTGTGCGGAGACGGTGGAGGAGGGAGCCTGGTGGCTGCAGTCACCCACGGCTCTACTTTGCACGCAAGCCCTGCCTGCGGGGCTTTTGCCACAGCAAAGCCCACTCCTCAGCAGCACCCAGTGGGTCTCAGCCCAGCGTCTAATGAATTTTTGGTTTCCCTGCAACTACAGAGGTCATATAAATGCAATTCTGGGCTATTACATTTTCAGACACATTTATTTTCTTTATAAATTAACCACCGGGTAAGCTCTCCACAAGGAACAAATGCTGTGTCCACAGCATACACTCTTGAAATTTCTACAGTACAAATTCTCATGACCAGTGGTTTTAATTTCTATCGAGGGGCCCAGGCAGTCCATGAACTACCATCTCTTGGGTGCTGTAGTAGAAATTTGAAGGTCGCAGGGGCCGCAAGAGCTGCAGCAAGCTGGGACAAGAAACTGTGCTCAGCAATCCAGATCCACCTTTTTGTTTTAACTTTTGGTATTGTCTGTTTGCTTTGCTGTCCATATGGCCTTTCTGTTTTACAGTAAAATCTTTGGGAGTTTTGGCCTGTCTCAGTTGTACCAAGGGAAAGTCTGACTTTATGTACTTTTTTTCCTCCTCTCCGTTTTAAAGGGGGTACAGAATTGCAATCCTTAGTCCTGGAATGAAATTTCACTAACTTAAAAAGCCCTGGAATTAGAGTGTAGTGAGAGATTTTTGGATCACCTGACCAACCAACTTCCTTCCCAAGCAAGCCATGAATAAGCTGTCAGCTTCTAGAGCCAGCAGGAGCCCACAGCTTTGGAAAGTAGCCTGTTTTACTACTGGCTTGCTCTAAAAATGAGAAAATTCATTTATACAACATTTTAAAATTTGTCTCTTTGCAGTTTTTACCTGTGATAGCTGGGCTGCCATAGCCAATAGATAAAATATAAAAGACCTTCATAAACTGAAAGTGACTGAGTCTTCTTCTGTCCATTAAAATGTTCTCCTTTAGCCTAAATAATACATAATGTCTAGGTCTTCTACCAACCTTGATGTGGCACTTTTAGAAGTTCCCTAAGCTTCTCAATTCTGTTTAACATTTCTGATTGCCAGGATGGTCCAGCAGGCACCATGACCTTTGACTTACAGCTGACCTGTCCTGAAGCTTGCTTGGAAGTTAGAGGTTAGTCAGAATTCACTTTCTCACAGAATCTCTCAAGGCAAACCTGTTTTCCATATCTCAGCTACTACCATGTGTTTACACTTCTCTCTAGACATGACTTTCTGTCTGCATCAGTGCCCCACACTTGACTATAACTCTTCTAGGATCAAAACCTCCTATCACTTAGAAGAGCTCACCTAAGGAAATGGAAAGCCATTTGGCTCTATTTGTGCATTTATGTGTGAATGACCTTTAATGATCATGCCAGAGGTGCAAGTGCTTTTAGAAATGTACTTGCTAATCCGTGACTCTAGATGTCAGAAGTGAAAACTGTAAATCACAATAACATCTTACAAGCACAGTTAATGTAAACTGATCATCTTTTTGACCCGGAACACAACTAGCTAAATATGAATCTAAATATAGCTTTTAAAAAGCCATTTTTGTCATTTGTGGCTTGTTTTACCATAAATGTCTTTGAAACTCACAATAGTCATATTTAAAATTAAACAGGAAACACTTGGATACATGCTTACAGTAAATAATTCTGATAAAACTCATATAATGAAGTAAAAGTGCATAAAGTCTATAACAACTCAGCCTCTCCAAGATTTGGAATTCAGATACCTAAAAGTAATGAGATAGAGATAGAGAGAGAGACAGAGAGAGAAACAGAGACAGAGACAGACAGACAGACGGAGACAGAAACAGAGATAAAGGTAGATATCCCTGGGAACCCAGGAAGGTTCTCACAAGAAAATTAAAACCTACAGATATTGAGGAGACAGAACACAATATGCAGAAGGGAAGGGGCAGTCTCCACTTTCTCCCAGCTCCTGGCTTGTGGCATGCAGGAAAGGGAGACTGAATTTACACAGGCCAAGTGAAAGCTGGGAGATCCAGAGGCTTGAGGGAAAGGTGGTGAAGCCGACTGACCATGCCATGAGAGGCAGGGAAAGCTCGTGGCTGTGCTCCCAGCTCAGCCCTTCAACAGGCAGCAGCTGCTGAGTGGCTCCCCTTTAAGTGCCCACTGTGTCGCTAGAGATGTTAGACGCTATTCCAGGGAAGGGCTGACTGAACCCAGCACTCAGAGCAGCCAGTTCAGGGCTCCTAGTGTTATGTTCCCACGTGACTGAAAAGAGACAGCTGCAGTCTACAGCTGTGGTCAGGGAGCCCTGGTCGAAGTGGAAGAAGACCCCTGGGACGTTTAAACTATAGGACACAGGCCCAACCCACAGTCAGAGGCTAGGCTTGGCCTGACTTTTTCTACATTTAAGTCATGGCAGTGGCCACCTTGTGCTAATCCTACTGCCTTCTAGTGCCTGCATCCAGCACAGATCTGGGGTCTGACTGCCTTTTAAATTTACCAATGTGAGCAGGACATGTCTTGACTTGGATACTGTCTTAAACTGTAGATGCTAGAAGCAAATCATGTTCAAAATCATAGAGAAATGTTTCGGGGGTATTTTTGTTACTGTTTTTTATTTTTGTTTTTTGTACACATATGCACTATTTTTAGTTTAGTTTTATTTTTTTCTTTTCCTTCCTCCTTTCTTCTTCACCAGGTGCAGTGGCTTGTGTCTAGATATTCTCCCAAAGCCTCCAACAGGTGGGACTTTTTCAGAGGTGACTGGATCAAGAATATGTGATGCTGTAATTGATTCATGGTGCAGGATCAAAGGCACTAGGATTAAGTACCCGCCCTAACTAGCCCGGGTAAGATATAAAGGACAGAAAGAGCTGTGCTCACCCCTGGTTGCTTTTGCAACGTTCTGTCCACATGAACTGTTTCTCCTCTGCCATGCCACTCTGCCTTGCAGCCAGCTGATTTTGAAACCTCTACAAATTGTGAGCTAAATAAACCTTTCACCTTTAACTTTGGGTGTTGGTATTTTATCTCAGCAATGAGAGAAAACTAAGATACCTGCTTATCAGGGCTTAGGGGGATTTTTCTTTACTCTTCTGCCTTTTTAAAAGATCTTTTTCTTGCTTTTTTTCCCCTTAAGTTTTCCTCTCCCCTCTTTCAATTTTTCACTCTTTAATTTCTTCTCCCAATTTTACTCCCTATTTAATGTCTAGGATCCCACAGGATTCTTTATATTACTTCTCTCTCTTCGTCATACAGTTTAAAGTTTCAAAAAATTTCTTCTTGTATTCCTCCATTCCCAAAGCCTGTATCTTTAACAGTGGAACCATAAAGCATTGTTAACCTTTTGATAGTCAACTCTCTAAAATTGCTGTTGAATTCTTTTATATCACTAGTCATATTTAATATATACTAGACATAAGTCAATACCTGGGTTGTCTTAAGGTTTACATCATAGGTGTGGGTTTCTTCCATAGAGTTAAATGTGGTAAATAAATTGGTTATTATGTTAATATCAATTTTATCCTACTGTAGCTGATTTGCTTAATATTGCTAGGGCTGTGTAATTATTGCTGTTTCTCTGTAAACCAACACTCAGGTTACCTTTGTGACATTAATAATACTGAAGTACATTTCCAGAGAAATTGGTTTTTGCACTAATTACACTGCATTCATCCCTTCCAAATTAACCAGCTCTTGGGGCTGAAGCATAAGATTATAGTTAGACAGGCCCAAAGTACACCCTGAAAAGCAGTTAAAGAAATCTCTATCCTAGCAACAAATTCTTTACACTATAAGGATCCACAAACTTCAGTATAAAACAAAACAATACAAATCAAAAAAAATCCAATAGAAACATGAAAAGACAAGTCAACAAAATGCTTCCAAAAACTCCCAACTCCCCTGATCCTGATCTAGGGGCATTGAAGGACAGAACAAATAACCTACACACCCTGATTACTTGAAAGGATAACAGAGAAGTTTAGAAGACAGATCAAAGACATACTTAGGGGGATCACAGAAAACATTACTCAAAAGATAATGCAAGTAATAAAATGATCCAGGAGCTTTCAGAAGACACTTATAAACAGCTAGGTGAGTTAAACAAAAACAAGTAATATGAATAATCAGTTTTGCAAAGAATTGGTTTCAATCAGAAATCCAGGAGATTGAAGATTGTACTGAAAGTATGGGCAGCAGAAGCGAAAAATGTGAGAATTTCAGAACTATAAGACAATGATGTCTCCCAAGATGATCTACTCAAATGCACCTTAAAAGCAACAGGAGAATATTAAAAATGAATCTAACAGCTGCTAGATGATCTGAGATTCAGTGAAATCAGTAAAAAAAAAATCAAAAGATAGTACAAATGGCATTAAAAAACTTGTTTACCAACATAATAGCAGAAAACCTACAAATAGGGGAAAACAATTTAACACACAGATAAGAGTGGCCTACATAATAGTAATAAACAGCCACCATCAGACAAAAACCTCTTCACAGCACATCATAGTGATAATCCCACAAAGCCAACACAAGAACAGACTCTTTAAAGCTGTTAGAGAAAAGTGAAGTAGCAAAATCACTATGGTGATAAGGGCTGGTGATTTAGCTCAGCGGCATAAGCGCCTGTCTTTCAAGCCTGTGGTTATAAGTTCAATCCCTGGTACATTATGGAGATGACTAAAAAAAAAACTTTAATAATGGAAATTCCATTTGACCCAGATGATAGGATTATTTCCAAAAGATGAAAAATATTTCCACAAGGATGAGAAGTATAAAACAAAAAGCAGCTTTTATTCTGAGAACACGGAGAGAGATGGCCGGCACCCCTCCACCAGTGGG